GTAAATCTGATGCTAATGAAACCTGCACATGCTGCTCCTGATATATGTCAAATGTAGATTGGAGAAAAAAAAATATATTTGCTGCATTCATTGTTTGAAATATATTTACAGTTGAATAATAACATAAGTGATTGTTTTTTCTCATTTAATAAAAATTCATGTGGTAAACATTCATGAAACATTTGATTCATCACTTCAGGGAACATGTAAACATGATGAAATTGATCACATTTGTAATAAATATTTGATGTATTAACATGTTTCAGGTAAGGAATAAACATGTAGTGAAACAGATCCTATTTTGAAGTAAACATTTTATATAATTAAACATTTCTAGTAACAAACAAGACCAACAGTTTTCAAGTTTTGCGCGGGGGGCGGAGATGGCTCAAAGTAAGGGAAATGGAGGGCTATCTATGTAGCTTTTTAGGTAGGATGTCTGTATTGCGCATCACTTGCTTAGAGCTATGGCAGTGCTGTTACTTGCCGATGGGAGGGGGAGGGGCAGTGCGGTAGGCCGGGTGCTCAGGCGTTAGGGTTCTGGGGACGTTCTGTTGACAGGGCAGAGTGCCCTCCTTGGATAATGGTAGGGGAAACACTGCCAAACTCAAATAGAATGTTTAAATATTTAAACTTTTTTTAAGAACACTTTTTCTCTGTGGCACCAGCCAGGCTGAGCAGGTACCAAAACGTGACGTCAGAAGTAGGGGTGCACCGATTGCAGTTTTCTGGCCGATCGCCGTTTTGTAAAAAGTCTGACCTGCCGATTCCAATTTTGGTTGATACCGATTTTGTTTTATAAAAGACACTGCCAGGTGTTATAAGGTCACAATGCACCTTCAATTTTCCAATATTATTTTATTGAAAAACATACCCTTGAACAATATCCTAGAAACAATACAAATGTGTTTTAACTGCCCATGAGTTAGTGCTCTGAAATATAAATGAAACTCAGACAATTGTTGTTAAAACTAAAAAAAAATCTGTAAAATCGGTTCCTCAGGGTGTATTCACACCAGCCCTGTTTAGTCCGCTTTAATCGAACTCTAGCTCATTTTCCTAGAAAGTCCGGTTCATTTGGGGAGGTGTGAACACGCCATCGAACTCTGTCACGGAACAAAAAGGCCATCTCTGGCCCGGGCTAAAACTTAGGTCTCGGTCCGGTAGAAGAGAACTCCAGCGCAGTTCGAGTACAGTGTGAATGCAAACAGACAGGGCAATCAAGTATAGGCTGATTTCCAATTTCCCAAAATTAAGGATATCGGGGCCAATTTATCTGTGCACCCTTGTCAGAACACTGTCGGTCACTTATTGGTCATGGGGTGGAGCCACTGGCTGTTTGAAAATTTTCACAACATTCGATCCACCATTTGCAATTACCGGTGTTCAAACTCGAGGAGCGACTAGACCTATTTTTAAGATTTTAAAAACAACTAGAGAATTTGCATTTCCTGCGAAAATGCGTTTGTGAATGCCATTTAAGGCCCTCCCAGCAAAGCACCGCTCCGGCCATGCCGCGATCGCAGGAGCTTCAGCCCCTCCACCCAGTCACCATCGCGAACGTTCTCATGCCAATCCCGCACACGTTCACCACGAGGCGCATTTCCTAAATGTTTGACATCGCCTTCCATCCATTTCAGTACTAGTCCAGCTCCAGGTCTTACAAGTATACGTGAAATCCAACCTTCCAGACAGGAGTTATTGTGACTCCCTGTTTTGTTGCGAATGTTTGACGAGCACTTCGTATATGCTTTTCCACATGTCGTGTGGTAATCAACAGTTACAGTTTCAGTTTCATAACTTACACAGGTCAAAGCTGGAAGAGTCACCCAATAATTGACAGTTTATTCTCTGAGTGGGTGGGCCTTAATACCAATGTGTCTGTAGGTGCTCACTGATGAAGCACAAAAAATTCAGTTCAGATCGGATGATGTATCACTGAGATATAACTATCGGAATAACGTAGGGGGCGCACTCGAGTCAAATGTTAAACAAAACCGCAAATGTGTCTAGAATGTGTCTACAAATGCTCACACATCATGCACAAAAAATCTGGCGCATATCAGATGATTTGTCACTGAGATATAACTTTTGGAATATGTAGGGGGCGCACTTGAGTCAAAAGTTGAACAACAATTAAAATGTGTCTAGAAGTGCTCACTGATCAAGCACAAAAAATCTGGTGCAGATTGGATAATGTATGGCCGAGATATAAATGTAAGAATAATGTAGGGGGCACTATAGAGGCTATTTGTCCAAACAGGTCTCACTTGTAAATGAGTCTTTGAGGCTCAATGTGATTTATCTGATTAAATAAAGGTTGAATGAATATCATGGATTCCTGTTCAAGGGATGGATAATGATCGATCACACTGATTTTGGTGCACCTCGGCTCAAATCTGTGGAATTTAGAAGCAAACGTATTGCGACGGTGTTGCATTTTACTTCGCCACGCCACACCGCCCACATGCTCCACCCAAAACTGTCAGTGTTGGAAAGCGAGTTTCAGCAACATGTTCGGTCTAGATAATTCCCACAACTCCCATGGAAGGTTTCCAATCAAGAAGATGTCCAAAATTACCAAGCTTAACTTCCCATAGAAAATTTCTGGAAAGTTACTGGGAATTTTCAGCCACTTTGTAACCTTATGTGTTATGGTTCAATTATTTTTAACATCGCAAAAACCTGCCATTTTAAAAGGTGTGTGTAGATGTTTATATCCCATAACCAGTAAACCTAAAACACAGCCTCTGAATATTGGTGGAATATTGGTCTCTAATGGGGCTTTTGCACTGCTCGTACTAAGCCCCTGGCTCTACTCATCCCTCCACGAAAAAAATCGCTATTCCACAATACTTTTTAGCTGATTCGAGGCTGATTCGGAACCTTGTTTTGTTCCTGCTTCTCTGGTGGGACCATGCGAGCTGAGTCGGGACTGAAACGTGAATGCAGGACACTGATTGGTCAGGGGGAGGAGTCACTGGATCGCAGAAACTTTTCACCGATCCTCCATTTGCAATTTCTCGGAATGCGAAGCAGCGGCTGGATGTATTTTTAAGATTTTGTGTTTAATGTGTGTTTAATGTGTTTAATGTTTAAGTCCAGGCGTGTTTTGTGTTTGGTGACCGACGACATAATTCGAGTGAGCGGAGTCACAGCGGAGGATTATACGAACTGCCGACCCATTGAAACACGCAAGGCCATACGCCGAGTCCCGGCCTCGCGTGCTCACAAAGGCCGGATTTCAAGCCCTGGCAGGCGGGAGTACAGGGAATCTGGGACGGAGGGTGGACATGTTTTTTTTTTTACATTTTATGTATAAAAAACATTTTTTTTTATCAGTGAAGAATAAAAATATCATGAAATCCTGTTTTCACTTTGACTTTATTAAATAATCTGTTAATTAAAGTTAACTTAGCTGAAAAATCATAAAAAGACAAAACTATTGGATCTCTCAGGAATATTTCCATTAGACATGTTTAAAGAAGAGATACAGTCTTTGGTTCAACTTTATTCTAACCCACAGATGTACAAATCACTAAACAAGCATTACACTTTAAATCACTGTTTGATTGTTCCTCTCTCTTCAAATGAGGATTGCCAACGTTTTCTGTCTTATTTTATAGACAAAGTCAGTAAGGTGAGAAATAACACTGATCACTGATCATCACTTAAATCACTACAATAAAATCTGTATACAAGAAACAAAACCACATATAAAAAATGAGAGCAAATACATCAAATGATGAAGAAAATATGGAATTTTAAATATAAATGTTTTTGTAGGATCTGGTTCATCAGATTTAATTCAGTTTATATAGCGCCATGTCCCAACACAAGTCTTCTCAGGGCACTGAATAGAAATATTCATATTTTAAAATAATAATTTAACATTATTTATCTGAGGAGCAGACTGCTTTGAGTTTAACTCATCGCAGAACTCTCACTCTTAATGGTGAACTAAAGTTCATTAAAGTTCATTAGCAGGATTTTGGATTCTGGACACGCCTCCAGAACCGGTCCTGAAGCGCAATGCAAATCAGGCTGATCTGAGCAGAGCTGAACAGGGCTGAGCAGAGTTGGGGCTGAGTAGGAGCAGTGCAAAAGTGACATAATTCAAAGCTTTCTCTGTTAGATGTTACAAACGTGTATAAAGCCCTATTCGCACGGAATTAGTTTTACCTATGGACCACATGCCATTTGTAATAATCACAGAGATTTGCTGTACGCACGGCCGCTCGCACACAGCCGGTGACATCTGTCCATCTGAGCTTAATGTGACTTTTTTTTTTTTTACCTCTTTAAACGGGCCGGTCGTTAAATTCCGTATTTTTCTTTTTCACTTTGGCTTTTATGAGCTGCTACTTCCTTCATCGCAGATGACGGGAGGTGCGGAGACGGGCGCTTGCAACTGACCAATCCATCCATTATTTTTACCCGCTTCTTCCTTTTCGGATAGCTGGAGTCGCTGGTGCCCATGTCCAGCCATCACTGTACAAGAGGTGGGGGACACCCTGGACAGGTCGCAAATCCATTTCAACTGGTGGATCAGCTGTCACCGGCCGCTCACGCGCACGGCCGGTGACAGCTGTCCATCTGAGCTTAACGGGGTTTTTCTTTAACCTCTTAAACTGTCCGGTCGGACCTGCCTCCTCCTCAATAAGTAGATTAACACTATTTTATATTGTGCATTCTTTAGTTTTCTTTGTGCTGATTCGTAAAACCACATCAAAGCCTGAGACAGTCCGAGACTGTACATTAAATACATTATATGGACAGGCCCGGTTGTGACAATGCAGTGCGTTAACATCATATCCACAAGATGTCTGTAAATTTCAGCTAAATCTCAGACTTTGGTTATCCCGTGCAAATGTGCCACATAAAAAGCAGAAGTTAGGGAGATTACACTGGTCCTTAAGTAAAACTAATCCCGTGCGAATAGGGCTTAAGACAAGACACTCATGTAGTAAATTCAGCTTCAAATTTAGTTGTCTTCTTACCTTCTGGTTACGAGGCAGGTCAAGGACTCGGGAAGGCGGTGAGTAGTTCAGAACCAGTCTCTGGAACTCCAGTAAATGGAACAGAGACTTGAAATTAAAAAGACAGAAACAAATGACTAAAAATTAAATAATGAGAATCAAGGAAAAACGTAATCAAAGGAACACTACACAGTTTTGCGAATAAATAGATGCACTTGTGACATATTGAGATTTTTATGATTTGAAGTCCTAGACTAAGTGCAAAGAATTAGCTATGTTTACATGCGCAGAATTCTGTGACCGGATTGAAATGTGTTCTGTTTGAATAATTCTAATGTATTGTTTACATGGGCACAATCTGTTCATGATGAGCGTTTACCTGCAGCGGGCTTTGTTCTGAACAGCAGTACTGACATGCACAGAGTGGTAAACTCTCCTTAAAAAAACCACCGAAGAAGAAGTTCTACTTCCGGGTGAACGTAAACAAACCTGGGCACCCAAAATGGACCGCGACAGGTTTTAATGATGGTGGAGACGTTACTGCACTCCCTGACTGAGCTGCAGGTGATATAAATCATTCTGAGCTCTTTCAGAGTTTCTAGTAGAAAAGTTGTGTCGCTCACCGACCAGTTTTACTTCCCTGACATGCTAATATTATTAGCGTTAGCCAGGCGGAAATGGCAAAGTCTCACATGCGCAGTCAGGTCAGTTTTTCACCATCAGATAAAAACGAACAGATCAAGCGTTTACATGCGCACCGATCGGGTTACGGATCAGCGTAAACCACCCGTTTCGTTCTGATCACAAATTATATCGAATCGCGCCGAATACACAAAAAATATGGTATGGTATAAAGTTTATTCATTTTAAAAAAGTACAAAACAATTCCATAACAATATAAAAAGATACAAAAGATTTAAAATGAAAGGCAGCAGAAAGAAGAAAAAATCTTATTATATCTGCCCCTTTTTTCAAACAATTATTTCAATCATAATAATCTTCAAGTAACAGAACAAAATGAATAACTTTCTAATTTTTCTAATTCTAATACAAAACACACACTAAGCTACTTCATATATACTTTTTTGACAATTCAGCTTTGATCTTTTTCTTAAATGTTCACATTGACTTGACATTTTTCACATCACTCTCTAGAACATTCCACAATCCAACTCCTTGGATTGAGGTAGACCTTCCCTTCAGACTAGTTCTGAATTTTGCTTTGACAAATATCTCTATCCCCTTAAGATTATAACAACTTTGTCTTTTAACAACATTTCTTTGGATATTTAATGGTAATGTGTTATTTTGAGCCCTATACATAACTGATAAAATACTATAATCTACCAAATCATGGAACTTCAATAAGTTCAGTTGATAAAATAATGTGCTTGATGGGTGACTGTAATGCTTTCTGGTGATAATTCTTACAGCTCTTTTCTGTAAAATAAAAATAGGTTTTGTAAATGTTTTACATGCTTTCCCCCAAACATCAATGCAATAGATTAAATGTGGAACAATGATTGTGTTATACAACATGTACAGAGCTTTATCATTTAATAATTCCCTGACTTTGTATAGTACTGCAATAGATTTAGATATTTTTGTTCTTACAGAATTGATGTGATTTTTCCATGTTAGCTGTTCATCAATGATTACACCCAAAAATTTCATCTCATTAACTCTACAAATCTCAACACCCTCAATTTTAAATGGATCATCAACAGTTCTCTTTTTGTTACTAAATATCATGTATTTAGTTTTGTCTAAATTTAATGATAATTTATTAATTTTAAACCAAGTTTGTATTTTATCAAATTCTGTCTTCATCAATTCCAACATCCGTTTTACATCTTTACCCAAACAAAAAAATGTGGTGTCATCTGCAAAAAGGACACATTTGAGGAGTCCTGATACATTCACTAAGTCCTTCACATATAAAATAAATAACTTTGGTCCAAGTACAGAGCCTTGAGGAACTCCACAAGTGATATTGCACAGGTCAGATCTTACACCATTTATTTGTACAAACTGTTTCCTATCTTTTAAATAGCTAGATACCCAGTGTAATGCTGGTCCTCTTATACCATATTTATTTAATTTTTCAAGGAGAATAGTGTGGTCAATAGTATCGAATGCTTTTTTTAAATCAACAAAAATACTAACACAATACTGTTTTTGATCGACAGCAGTAGTTATTTGTTCTATTATTTCCATGAGAGCCATTGATGTAGAGTTTTTTGCTCTAACCCCATACTGACTGCTACTTAGAATGTTTTGTTTAGTAATAAATTTATCTAATCTGGTCACAAACAGTTTTTCTAGAATTTTTGAGAACTGTGGTAATAAGGATATTGGTCTATAATTATTGAACACACATTTATCACCATTTTTAAAGAGAGGAACTACCTTAGCTACTTTCATATTGTCTGGAAATATTCCTTTTGAAAAGGATAAATTACAAATATATGTAAACGGCTCGATAACATAACTCATTATGTCCTTTACAAACATCATATCCATGTCCACCCAGTCTTTTGATCTCTTATCTGTAAGATTTTTTACAACATTCATTATTTCTTCTTTGTCAGTTCCATTAAGAAAAATACTGTTGTCACAACTTATAACTGAATGGTTCACATTATTGTCTACTTTTGGTATTTTAGCAGCAAGGCTTGATCCAACGTTCACAAAATGATGATTAAATCCATTTACAATTTCATTTTCATCATGGATTTCATCGTCATCCTTCAAAAAATATTGTGAAATACCTGTTTTTGCTTTATAACTTTTCAGAACACTATTTATTACTCGCCATGTAGCTTTCATATCACCATTACTTTTATTTAATAAATCACTATAATATTCCTTCTTGTGTTTCCTTATAATCGCTACTAATTTATTTTTATACTTCTTATATTTCTCTTCAGCCTCTTGTGTTTTCAATTTCAAGAAACATGTATACAAATAATTCTTTTTTTTACAAGCATTTCTCAACCCTTTCAGTCAGAGTCAGAGTTTCTTTATTGTCATTCGCACCTCATGTGGTACATGTGGTGGAGCGAAATTATGTACACAGGGTCCCAGTTACATCCAACAATAAAATGTATAAGAAAAACAGTAATAACATCTAAGATATGAACTAAGAAAAACATCAACTAAATATACACTAAGCACTCATAACATAAAACATTGAACATCAGCACAAACATGAACATGAGTCTGTGAGCAGACTCGTTCATCCATGTCGTCATCCATGGTTGATCAACAACATTTCTCTTTGTACAATTATTTTGCACACAATTCTTTTCATACAAAGCTCCCAAAATATTCATAAACTCATCATATGATCTGTTCACATCATCAACATACACGTCTTTCCAGCTTTGTTTATGTAAATCATATTTTAATTTGTCCATTGCTTTTGTTGATGTGTTTATTGTTTTTCCTTAATTGTAATTTCTTTTGTAATGCTTTGATCATTTTTATAAATCATGAAAACTGGTAAATGATCACTCAAATCACTCGTTAAAATACCTCCCATCACATCCCCATTTGTTACATTTGTGAAAATATTATCGATTATTGTAGCACTACGAGTTGTAATTCTTGTTGGTTTTGATATTAACGGATAAAGATTTAAACTATACAATGAATTTGTAAATGTACTGATGTTATTTGAATCTGTTTTATTTCCCAGGTCAATATTAAAGTCTCCACACAAAAAAATGCTTTTATTAAAACTTTTGTCCAATAGTTGTACGATTTTATCAGTGAATATTTCTATATTTGATCCTGGAGATCGATATACACAACTTATCAATATGTTTTTATCATTCTTGTTTATTATTTCTATTGTTATTATTTCCATGATATTATCAACAACTATTGACATTTCATTAATTAACTTACATTTTATTTCATTTTTAACAAATAGAGCCACTCCACCACCTCTTTTGTTGCTTCTGTTCACATGATATAATTCATACCCTTCCATGTGAACATTAGTTGTGTTTTCATCGTTGAGCCACGTTTCTGACAGTGCTATTATTGTAAAGGTTCTGTTTAGCTGTTTTAAATAATCTGTTATTTTGGATATATTTGCATTTAAACTTCTACTATTACAGTGAATAATAGAGAGACCTCCATTTGTTATATTGATGTCATTAAACTGTTCTTCATTGTAATATTCACAGTCTTTTATTGCAGGGAAAAAATTTGTATCAATCACATCTTCAACATTGTATATTTTAAACTCTAAGTCGTCGTATGTTGCCATGTTTTAATGTATTTGTTCATTTTATATTTTGTTAATTTCTTGTTTGTGAAGTTATGTCAATGATTTATCATCTGTCCTCTCCTGAGCTCATTTTAGTCTTTCCAGATCCTTCAGGTCTTTTATTATTTTAGCCTGAGATCCTTCCTGTATTTTGATCCAGATGTTTCCATTTCTTGTCCAAGATGATGCTATTTTTTTCTGTTTTTTTTAACAACCTTGCTTCAACGATAATGATAACCCGATTCAAAAATAACCCGAACAGAGTGTTTACATGACACACTTTTATTCCGACCGGCCATTTGATCCGGTTACTTATGTCCATGTAAACATACCCATTAAGAAGCTAGATTTTTAACAGCTTTTCAGTGGGAAACTTTGTTTTTAATCATTTAGGTTTTTGACCGCATAGTAAAATAATTGTATTTACAGAGTCTAAAAAAGTTAAACCTGGTCCTTTGGACATTCAAAAAACAAAGCAAAACAACAACAAAAAATGGAGAAACATTTCGTCTTTCATCCGAAAGACTTCCTCAGTCTGAGGTGCTGTATTCAGCTCAGTCTTGTTAAGATATTTTTGGACTGGTCCTATGGTTTTGATCTGCTCAGACGGGATTATAATGAAATTATGACCCAGTTCTGACTGGGTTAAACTGGGCCAGCAGCTCTAAGAGAGTCTCCCTGGGATTTCAATATCAGTCAAGGAATAGAGTTTAATCTGCTTGCCACATCACGTAAAAAGGCTTTTGAAGCACCGTCTCGTATTTCCTAACACATCAGAGCCACATAAGATCCATTGAGATCACACTTAGCCACGCCCCCTCATACACTG